CCAAACCAAACCAGGAGAGTGAGGAGTCAAGGTCAACATAAATTAATGAAATGAGAAACACTGTTAGGTTTGGCTCTGTGGCTCGTAGGGAACTGTAGCTCTCATCATAACCACTTCCCTTCTGTTCCTAAGGCTTGAATGGGATGCTAATCACATAATGTAGTATATTGTTGAGTCCTCTGATTGTGTTGACATCTATTTCAGCAAAAAGCATTGACTAATATGCACCAAGAAGTAAACAGTGCACATAATTCTATTAGAGCACAGGGCTATATCCATTACAGCTGGATGGAAAGCCATGGGCTCTTCAGACGTCCTCAGTCATGAAAACGTTTTCTACTCCATCCAACACACATTGGCATGTTTTCCTGTATCAAAAGGCCTCATCTGCAGGGTGTCTGTTCCTTTTAAATCTTCTCTTTACCTTATCTTCATGTTACTTTTAGTAGGGATTTTGTGTAAATAAACATTTATCTGCGTCTTGTGATATTCTTCCCAAAATCATGTTCTTTGTGTCCATTTGACCTACTTCCATTACAGAGTGACTCAGCATAGAAGTCTCAAAGAGTATACGCTAATATAAAACAGTAGATCAAATTAAATAGGAATTAAAAAACACCTACAAAGTATCTGGTCATTACTTCTACCATGAGGAATAATGTGCAATAAATTTGACAGAATAAGGATATTAAAAAAAAGATGCTCACAGAATGTCATTGTCTAAGGACCAAAATCACAAGCAGGTCATTTACCAAAGGTTAAATACCCATGAAAACAAGCCCTTTGATGCCAACGGGGGCCTATTTAGCCATCTGGAGCCCCAACATGATAAAAAGTATAAAAGCAGAGAAAGCTGAGCAAGGAACTGCACTGCCAAACACATAATACAAATCTCATTAAGAAGTCACTGCTGACATAAACGAGCGGAGAAGCAAATATATTTTTAATTTCTGTGCAAGTAAGAAATGCAGAACCATGAAAAAAAAAAAAGCACACTGTATACACAATGGATATCCACTGCTGATCTGTTGAGATATGTCTATTTACGCTTTGCTCAAAAACTGTATTCCTTAAATAATTTCGAGGGTCTGTGAAGGCAGATTTGTTTGCCGGTGTGAAAAATCCCCAACTGTTCCCTGGATCCCGAGATAATACCTCGGCCATGTGCTCCATCCTGCCACCATGTGTATCATAAGGCTTAGAGACCAGGCACTGCATCTATGAACCCTCTCACACTACACCTACAGTCCTGACATCACTACTGCACCGCTCTGCCGCAGAGGCTGTTTCCTTAGCAACCAGCTTAGGAAACCATGTCACCATAGAAACCATCAGAGGGGGAAAAAACTCATTATTGTGATAAGGGTTACTCATAAGAAGTGCAGGTGATAAAGTTTATGAATAAGCTTAGTTAAAGAGCTGATGTTTTTGATGGGATGGCATTTTTTCATCAGTTTTATCCACAGTTGTTTATCAAGTGTTTATCACTGATATGAGCCCATGAAGCAAAGCAGATATCACTTGTAATATAACACAGATGTATGATAATAAATGTGCACACTTTGTTATGAGGTTGGCACTTATCAATGCCACTTAAGTATGATCATCAAAATATTTACTACTGTCCAGGAAGTTCAATCCAGCCATGTATGAAAAGGAAAAAAAGCCAGCAGTTTGTTCTTAAGGCACACATTTACTTATCATATTCTGTGTCCTGTTATATTGAATCACTAAATGAATACCCATTTAACAATGTGCTACTGTTTGGTAGAAATATGAGATGGAGTCCTAGAAACCTATTTCTTGTAATACATTTAGTGCATATTCCCAGTTGACTTAAACCTATTGGGCTCTCTCTCTCTCTCTCTCTCTCTCTCTCTCTCTCGTTAAGGAAACAGTTCTCAGAGACATGAATGGAGAATGTCAAAGGCAATGATCTGTGTCTTCTGAAACCTCCAATTAAGTCACAGAGCTTTATAAATTCAAGACCGCATTGACTGCAAACCATGTCTGCCTCATGTGCAACATGCACTGGTTAGCTTATTGTGGGACATACACACAAAATCAGTATGTGATGAGAACATGTAAACCCACTAACCCAATCTTTCTAGACACTTCACACAGCCAAGCTGGGAAGTGGATAGCCGAAGGTCAAGCCAGTCTCCTATGACTTGTGTCCTACATAAAAGCATCATCCCATCTTGTGAAGAGCTGATGCATCATGGAGAAAATTGCAAACAAAAATAACTCAAAAAGCAGGTTCATTTATTTAAGCAAATAATGTGCCACCAGCTTAACCAACTGCATGCACAGCCCATGATATAAAAATTCATTGTTAAGTCCAAGAAATTTACATTAACTTCAACTGTTTGCAACTAACAATGCTCTGAATACCACAGGTGTGCGTAGTATGCAATGCTGCGAGCTTTATGCTTTTGCTGTTAGTAGTAAGGAACAGACAGATTATGGAAGATTCTAATGTGAGTTTGCCAAACTGAACTAGATTCAATTCCTCAATCCTCCAAATATTTAAAAGTGTGACACCAAAACAAATCACAGAATACTTTTTCCATCATCTTACATTTGTTCTTTTTTCTTTTAGCCATTGCCTAGTTTGAATGTTTGCTATTGTGCCCTACTTTGATGGATGCTGTATGCTCGATTCCTGAAAGTAGTGTTTGGTTTTTGTGAAAGTAAGGTTCTAGGAATCACAATTAAAAATTATGAAGTAACACCTACCATCTTGCCGTCCACAGTATATAGCCTTTTGACAGCTCCAGAGTCAAGCTTAATGGCGTCTGTAATGTCAGACAAGACTTGGTCGTAGGAGTGTGCAGTCTTCTTGTTGAGCAAGATGCGTACAGCCTTGCGAGGCTTTACTCCACTGCGGACAATGGTCACCAGTTTGGGCTTGATAAAGTCCTTGGTTTCCTTGGTTTCAGGACATCCGGCCATGGCGCTACCGAGGGAAGCAGGATCACGAACTGCCATGGCAGTCCGAGCACCCACTGACCAATTGGGATTAACATTCTTTGTGTATTCAAGCTTCTTGTAGGGCTCTATGGATGCGCAGACATAGCTCTCACCTGCAGAACAGCAAGATGCATAAAGAGATGTTTTCATGGGCCAACAATAAAAGGTTAAGATAAAGCTAAGTAAAAAGTACCACAGGGTAGTGTAACTCCAGCTACTTCTTCTCTCCAAGACAGAGACAGTCAACATTCTGTTTTGATCTTCATTAGCTGTTATTTTGTCAGAGCTTGAGACTTAGTTGATGTCTCTACTAAATCTGGGACAAACTTACAAAAACATCAGGTAACCTACTCACCTTCCACCAGTTGGTCCATGCTGGTGATTTTTGTTGTCCCATCAACGGTATATATGGTTCGCACCCCTTGTGGCAAATTGACATTGTCTGACAGAGATCGAGTAAGGTCAGCCAGGAGTGCTTCAATGGACCTAAATTTCTCCTGAGAAATGGCATACACGATCCCTTTGAAGTAACGGTCCCCATTGCGGTAGAACCGAATCTTCTTGGCCTTTTTTTCAGAGATAAGTGCTTGCAGCGTCCTGGTTCTGTAAAGGCAGCAGTGGGCACTGTGAGTGGGACTGGGAAGCCCATTCCCTCTTGAGCCCCTTCTGGTATTTCTCTGAGCCTTGTCCCGCTCATCAAAGTGCTCCAGCTCCATGACTATGAAGTGCTATTACACCTTAAAAAATACAAGGAGGATAGTTAATATCTTCATGAGCGCTTTAACCTGCAATTAGATTAGAAAAATAGGCTCCCTGTTAGTAAATGAATCAGTATGATTGCTTATAATCCTAATACAGCACCACAACCTTTGATGCAGCTCCTGCTGCTCATACACACATTATGTGGTAACATGTCACACCCATTTCAGGCTGCCTTGTGTGTCTTAATTATCCTTACAGCAAAGGTAAATCAGGTGCATACGATGGAACAATAGTATAAACCTGTAAGGCACATTGGCTTTAATATTATTCTAAGAAAACAATATAGCCAAATGTAGCGAGAAAACAGTACAGAGCATATGGATTATATTTTTTCTGGTGCAGCCGCTCTTACCTTTGAGGTGAGGACAGATGCAATAGGACGTGTATCTCAAAGCGAAGCCTGTCTCAATGAATCATTTATTCTTTTGCAGCCTGAGATGAACCGTGCGTCCCTTTGTTGCCCCTGTGATGGTGCTGCCTGCTTTCCCTGCGTCTACTCTGCTGTGTGTTCACATGCAATGAGGAGGCAGGGCTGCTGCCGGTGTCCTCCACCCTCCCCTACTCCTCTGCCATTGCAGTGATTTACACCGGACCGGCGCTCGGGTGTCAGCAGCACTAGACGTGCACGTGGCTATAGAAAAAAAACATGCTGTGTGTTAGACTGATGCGCGTTCACGTTGATGTCTTCTTGCATAATAACGCCTTAATGGTAGGCGATATGTACAATATGATTAATAGATTTTTTTAAACAGCAAAAAACAAATACCCATGAAAAAAAACACTATTGAAACACGAATTTCTGTTGTAGCCTACCAGTGTTCAGTCGGGTAGTGCTACCCATCTAAACATATTTCACCACAGCATCAAAGCGCACCAAGATAACCTTCACCAGATAATGGTAACTTGCTATTAAACAGGCTTAACACTCTTTGGGTTATTTGCTTAGATACCTTTGTGACAATGATTGTTCTCCTCTTAAGTTAAGTCACTAACTTACCACTTTTAACATAACTAGTCAGTCTTCAGTTGCCAGGATAGTTTAGCTTTTGCTTCCAGGTTTCTGTTTCAAAAATAGTCCCAAGTGGATTTTAGTTTGTTTCCTGTTGTAGTGTCCATTTTCAGGCAGAGATGAACGCGCAAAGTATTTGTTTTTTGAAAGACTCGATATGTCATGCTATCCGGCATGTTTTGACACAGGTACGCACACAGGTGTAAGTTATAAGTCATTAATTAGTGAGCGCGTGGACAGTCTATGGGACCTGATGAGAACCTGATGGACACATTGTGCACGGGAACTAATAAACGTCATTTAAGTATGAGCAGAAGACCACCTAAAAGGTAATTTGCACGTGTTTTTGTATCAAAAAAAATCCTCCACACCGTCACTCTTCTTCTGGTTTACATCCTGTTTCGATAATGCGATAAGGAAGTCAAACCTGGTGCAAACAATTTCTGTATTAAAGTGCTTTTATCCAGCTGACCTGCGGAAGGCCTAATTTATTTATCCTCAAAATCGTGATGTCATGGATGTTATTTTAAAAAAGCTACAGTTTGCTGTTCGGGCTATTTGATCCTAAAATAATCCACACGTTTGATTTATTCAAAGTTAATTCACCTTTCGTCGTATTCTAACAACCTTCTTGAATCTTTATGTATTTCTGGGCAATTAATCTTTTTTTTTATTGTCTCCTTGTTCCTCCCTAGAGTAGCCTTTGTAAATGAAGTCTAGAAACATAGCCTGACTTTATATTGATTTAAACAGTCTTTCTTATTCAGGTCTGTCAGTAGATTAATGAGGTGTAGTCTGGGACTCTAGATGCCCCAGCTTCGGCACAAATAAATATGAATGAAATTCCCTTAGCTGAAATAAAGCACTGAATACTTTTCAAGTTTACTTTTGTTCAACCTTAACATGTAAATGTAATGTTTGGGTAAAGGATTTGTTTTCCCTTTTGCCTTCAGGTCCAGGGATGACCTTAAAGATGGATCAACTCCTTCTCTTAAAAGGAAAAGTGAGCTCCAGGCTTCTCTTCATTCTTACAAGGAAAAGAAACGGAGGTTTGATTTAGGGGATTCTCTTTACGTTATCTCCTAAATACATCTTTTCTTTTTGTTCAGTTATGGGCATCTAAACGTGTTACTGTGTTGAAGTAATCCTTCTGTTGATAGAATAAGATGAGTGATTATATAGTAAAACAATAACTTTTGGCTTGTGTTTTGGCTCATTCCCTAATTCTATTTGCGTGTTTTCCCAGGCTTCAAATTAGAACATCTTGTCGCCGCTTGCGTGACCTTCTGCCCTTTGTCGGTGGCCATTTAGACACAGCCACCACACTAGAGCTCACTGCGAGGTACATGAGCTACCTGAAGGAGACTCTACCTCCAAATGTTCTGTCTAAAGTAGGTCTATTGCAGTCTTATGCAGCACAGACAGCCAATCCTTTTGCTGTGATAATTCCCATGCGTTAATGACCTGTTTTACACAGGTTTATAAAGCAGTTGAGGAAAAAATGAGTAATTCATGGAAAAGCAAACAAAGACCACAGAGGAAAAGGTACAGAAAAAAAATGGCACCTTTTCATGTTAAGGTTTTAATGGCAAAAGTGCTCAATTGTAAATGTTATTTTTCCACAGAAAAAAAGTCAGGCTGAAGAAGATAACGTCTCAGAGAGCACAACCAGCTACCGAGAAGTCCAATGAGGGTATGGCTCATACGATACTCATGGCTTTTTTTTTTTTTTTAGGTCTTTCCTTCAGTGTTATCAACTGTCAGATTAATGAATTGCGTTGTTGGAGAATACGTTCTGCAGTGTGAGTTTGTTTAAATTTTAATAATTTCAGATCATGATGACACAGTGAAATGCACTCAGCAGAAGCTGTGTAATCCAGTGAATCAGCCACCTGTCACAAGAAGCCATCCTCTGACAGTGGCTCCAATGCCTTTTCCAGCTGAGGTCGTGACATCAGTGCATGCCCCGCCAATACTGTTGGACAAATCGGCTGTTCCCTGGGGACAAATGCTGCCAGTTTGCCAAGATCAATTTCTGACTGCGTCATTCCAGTCTGTGGAAAATAACTTGATGAACACAACCTCTGCATTTATGAACCCCACTTCACGTGCTTTCACATCAGAAATGATCAGCCCCACTTTTTTACCAGAGCTGGGACCAGACCTGTCTTCATACAATGTGTTCTGGGATGCCACTCCTGGCTTTCTGCATCCTACTGCTCTTCCATCAGTAAATGTTTGCCAAAACTACAGCCCACCTCAACAGACTACAGTAACACATGTCACCAAACTTTCAGCAGAACAAAGTTATGTTGGTTCATCTCTGGTCTGCCAAACTGCTAGTGCTTCAGAAAATCCACCACCCATCCCGTTGTCTTCAAGTTCTGTTGATGTGACACCTGAGGATGGAAATGTGTCGGTGTCAGATGTTCTGTGTCATTCAAGACTCCTCCTGGAGAGTGACCTCTGTAGCAGCAGTCCTTTGACAGACAGTCCACTGAATACAGTCAATCAATTTTGGCTTGATCTACTCTTGGACACTAATGGTAACCTATGCTTGCCTGATGCTAGTCTTGTAAACATGAATCTTTCACCTTACTCAAGGACCGGCTAACTATATGTTTGCTTGGAGATGTAAAACCTGCATAATATGAAGAAGATTGTCAGTCTTTCAGTTTTCATTTGCTGAAAATGACAAAAGTTAATGCAGATATTAGTTGTTTTTTTTATGCTGGTCTATTATGCATACTTAAAATCAATACTTTATATAGGTTGATGGGCTTTTGCCAGCCTCTCATTGAGCTGCATTCCTGTGATTTGTTACAGGAAGTTTACACACAGTAACTTGGAGCAACTCATCGGTCATCATACAGCCAACTAATAATTTTTAATGAAAAAGTGTAAATTCTTTTTTTTTGTAGTGCACACCTCCAGAAATCATTTGCTGAATTATGTTTTCTGCAGATGTTTTGTAAAAAAAATTATTATTGTTGCTACAGAGTGTTTTGACTTTGTCACAGAATATTGAAGGAATTGTTAAGAATTTCTTAGTTGAATTTTTTTTAATTCAAATGTTTTTCTTTTGCATTTTCCACTTCACAATGTTGAAAATAGCCAATCCATGTATTTGGATTATTTGTGTTACATTTACTAGAAGCTATTGGATGAATGTCTGTGTTCTCTAGCATTCAATAAAATGATTTCTAGAATACCTCTTTCACTTCTGTTACAATATGAATAACAAACATCCTAGTTTTCTCTTTTGAAATGAATTTGTGTTGACTTGGTGTAAAATCTAAATATTTTCAAATGGTTTTAACTTCTGCTGACAAATCCAACTCACAGCTTCCAAACCAATGCAATAATAAACCAAATTATTGAGTTCTAAAATGCTCCATTATTAATTACTGTAATTTACTAAAACATATGGACTATACAACATTAGTGTTTCTATTTATAATAAATAAACGAATGAGTAGAAAAGTATTACATATCAGAAACAGCCACTAGGTGGAGGTAAAAGGCTAACAGATCATTACTGAATTTTCAAAATAAAAGCCTTCTAGGACACAAAAACAGCAGTGGATTGCAAATTTTTCAAAAGCAAGAAATTTATTTGTTTTCATTTTATTAAATTATTCAAATTATGATCTCTCTGCTTGAATCCAGTGTTTGCCATCATAAAATTACATTTAACTGATGAAGACTGAGTTAAAAGAAAAACCTTATTAGACAAAAAAAATAAAGACACTAGCTGGGTTATAAAACAGAATGCATCACACTTCAGAATTCACTCTTTTGAAACGTCTTGACCTCACAGAAATATGAATATCTAGAATTTAATTTGAAATACTTGTTAACATTTTAAAGATAATAAGAAAAACAACTGAAATGATTTAGTCTGCCCACTATAAGACAATCAGTTTTAGACTTCAGAGACAGAAGCTATAAAGTTATATATTAAAGGTCTCACTAAAAAACATTACAAACTGAAGATGTCAGTTTTATTGTGCAGCTCCTTTAAAAAATACTTTGGTTAACCTTATATATTCTGAGGCAGTCAGCAGCAGAGGAGACGTGATTTAGGTCACTACAACTGCAAGTTAGATGCTTCTTTTTATCTCTTCTATCTGCAGAAACTAATATACAGATAATGTTATTTAATAACTTGTTTAAAATATATCAATTGCACTTACTCTCACAGGGAAAACTCAAACACATAGAAGCTTCATAAAGATTAGGAAACACGTCCAGTGTCTCGCCATTAAAAATCAAAGCTTCCTTAGTATAAAAACCACAGTTCTATTGGTGTCTTCTACCTGAATGTTAAAGAGTATCAACATAGATCAATGTACCTGATATCTGAAATGAAAGGCTTTTTTGGATTAGTAAAGCTGTTTTCCTTCACTTGGATCCATGTCTCTTATTATAAATAATGATTAAGTTGCTTCAAAGGTGTATGAAACTATAAGATATATATATAACAGTAGTTATATCTTGTAAATATAGAGCACATCTTCATAAATAATTAATAATAAACATAGTATTTGATAGAATACAAATGATGCTTTAAGGCGTTGCTGAGGGAATAGGCAGGGAACACAGATGGCTACTTTCAGATTTCTCCACCTGCTTCTCGTTCTCAGGATGATCTTGAATCTTGTAGTCTTCCAAAATGGCTTTAGCCGTTTGTTTGCCAGTCTTTTTCACCATAGCTTTGATCCCAAGGTTGTCAACATTGAATGCAGTGATACCGACGTTAATGGCAGAATTGACTGCGTGGTCTGTGGCTTGTCCTGCTGCTGATCCATATCTTCATCAGAAGTCAGATCGGGTGAGAGGTCAGAGAGAGAGGAGGGGTGAGAAACAAGAGGATTTGGGGAGAATTAATGTGCAGTGCAAAGATTTTAGAGATGCCATGCTCTTTGTGAACTTCAAATGTCACCCATGCAATAGTGCAAAAATAAATTAGAAAACCTCTGACTGCCAGAATTGTCATAGTCATGATATTCCACTGGGTGGGCAATACACATATAATCGCTTATTATGGTACATATATAAATCTTTTTCCACAATATCAATGTATATTCATATTAAACATCATCTAATGATACGCTTGCCGGATGGGAATGTTGTTAAAGTTACTTGAAGATAGAAACTAGACACAAAACACGTATGGATGGCAGATATATATTCTCTGAGTGTGCATAACCCACCCAATCTAAAACTTTAATCTACTGTATTTTGGGAGCTATTGGAACATGTTGCACCTCTTCATTGAATAAAGGAAGACTTTAAAGTCTGGCAGGACAGAGTGTTAACTCATCTTGAACCATCAGAAACATTTGAAGAGGAAAAATGTAAAAGGCAGCTCCAGCATGTGATTGGCAGCAGAGGGGAAGGGTGGTGAATCTGCACAGAATAGATTACATTAGAGTGCTTTGTGCAAGAGCCAATCCATTCAATGTCATGCTTTGATTAGTAGCTCAAGAGTTGAATAGCTGTGACTAATTAGGAATGATTACACTTCTTCTCATTAGGTGGGTCAAAGATGTTTTGTAGACCCCTAAATCTGAAAAGCAAATTGAAAAGGAAGTGAGTGCACATTTGGTTTTCAATGTGTAATGCCATAGTGAGTCATTGGTTACATATTGCATTTAAGACCTGGTGAACAAGCAGTGTTGAGCACACTTTTGTTGCTTTATATTAAAGCGAGTGACGGTGATCAAAAAAAAAAAGAGAGAAGAGGAGAAGACTTACTTATGCTTTACGGTGGAGACCGTCTCTGATGCTACACTCGTAGTGATGTTCTTCGCTGCTATCTCCAAACCAGTCCACATGGTGGCGAATCCTTGTTAAGTTGAGAAAATACAAAGTTAGGCACTTCTCTTCTGAACAAAGTCTTTAAGATAAAAAATAATAATAATAGAAAATAACTTTACCTTGCACTCCACTGGCCGCCACGACCATTGCTCCATCTATGTTGGAACGCCCGTCCTTGTCTTTCTTCATAGACTCTGGGATCAGCTTTCCTCCATGTTTTTTCACATGTGGAGCCAACTCTCGACCCACACAGCCTGCGACCGTACACACCCCATCCACTGCAGCAACACAGCATTACAAAATTAAAAAAGGTCCACTGCCAAACGACTTCTCAAGGTCAGTAAAACATTGCTGACTCGGGATGACGTAGTCACCTAAAAACTGGCTGACTCTGACAGCTCCTCCCGTTGCTTGCTTGGCAACGTGGAGGCCTTTGGTGACAGTGGGGCTGACGTTGGTGGGTGTGTCCTCTGGGGTGATGTGCTCTCGGAGTTTAGACGCTCCTTTATGGATGGCCTTGCCTGTAAACTCGGCTCCTTTCACCAGGCCCCAGCTTAGCCAGGACGCCCCTGAGGGTACAAAAGGACAACTCACTGAGTCTTTCCTAACTTCTAATCAACAAATTAACACAAAAAGATATTTGAGGAGGGGGGGGGGTGGGCTCAGACCTGACCTCACCTGTCAGGATGCCATTTGCCACCTTTTCGCTCCACTCTGGCAGAGACTTCTCGTCCTCTGTTGCTGCTGGTGCAGCCTCCTCGGGTGCAGCCTCCTCGGGTGCAGCGACAGACACCTTCTGACTGAGATTGATGGCGTCTGCAGCTTCATCTGGAGCCTGGTCATACAGACACATTGGTTAGCCACTGAAAAATGCAGACACAAGATGGCCTTTAAGTTTTGGACAACTTGTTGGCTGCTGTGTGCGAGCTGTACACGTCTCCTTTCAAATGCTTGTCTCAAAGTAACCCCTCAATTCACACAATAGCTTCTCTTGTTATTCAGAGCTTCTTGTTACAATGTGCTGCTTGTCACAAACAAACTCCTCCCTTTGTCTTCCGGGAAAAAAAGAAATATACAAAAACTTCTACTAGCCCCCAAAATCCAAACACAGAAGTGGCTACTTGCTGATCAAGGTCCATCAGAGTAAAGAACTAACCTGACTGCTTACATGAGAAGTGACCTTGTTAGGCATCGATCTGAGCCTGCGTCTCCACCTCCATCATGAATGAACTGGCACTTGTGTTTCAGCTAAAGCATTAAGGCTGTGCTAACTGCTGCAGATAAGAGCATTATATCTGATTAATTCTGCTCACCTGCCTTCCTCTAATCCCCACAAATGCTGAGGCAGGGGCAACTGAGAGAAGTGTGCCAGCTCAGAAGTAAGCAGGAGAACGAGTTTCACGCCCGGGCAAAAACAATGAAAAAGTTTGTTATCCTCAAAGTCTGCCGCCTCAAAGCACTGAATAAGCAGCCGCTAAGATCTTTTTCATGTAAGGGGCTAATTTAATATCTGCGGGGGTTTCCTGCCCTTGCGGAATACTGCAGTGAACTCACAAGCTGACATTTGGTGTGCTTCTTATGTTGGTCGGACATTTTGACTGAAATTCAAAACAGGATTTATTTGCAAAAAATGAATTTATGCGTGAAGACAAATCTACAAAAAGGTGTTAAAAAGGCGTGTGTATCCTCCCACCCATCACTTGTAAAGTCAACATTAACAGCTATCAAACAATTATAATGACAAGTGGGATCTCATCTTTCAAAGAGTATTGAGCTAAAAATGCATCCACTTTCACATGTCTCAATGACTTCCCAGCAGAACGCTCCAACCTCTGTTTCATTTTCCAAAAATAACTCTCTGCGCCTTCCACTGGCACAAGAGGATTTGCCACAAAGCATCGCGAAACGATTCCTCGGCGACTTGTTTCACCACTTGTGTAATGAAAACCAATTAAATGTGAAACAGAAGAAAATCACTTCAGAATATTTTCCTTCTAAACATTTGATCCATGAGAGAAACAACGAGGAATGAATGCTCTTCAGTTGCAGATGATGTGTTAGAATTAGAAATACACTTTGTAGTCCAGGTTTGCAAAAGGGCATCAAGAATTGTCAAACAACTTTTTTTTGGTGCTGTGGCAGATCCGACTGCTCAGCGACACTGACCTGAACCCTGAGATCTGTCATCTGGGACAGCAGGTCCTGGAACAACTCTCTGTCTGCAGCAGGCAGCTCCGAGGACAACACCACCCCGACATAATATTCTGGAGCCGGAGCCATCATGTCAGGAAACATGAACACACCAGTGTTACACAGCAACACAGGAGACTGCATGGCCATGAGAGGGTAGATCCAGTCACACACCTGACAGGAAGCAAAACACAAGAT